CATCCCATCCCATCCCATCCCATCCCATCCCATCCCATCCCATCCCATCCCTCAACCCCAACACGACAGCTCGCAGCTCAACTCCACCACGTGCATCCAACCAGTGACAGCCCCTTCACCCATGGCATGGGGGGACCCCTGGGTGCCCCACTCCCATCAGCTCACCCAGGTTGTCCCGTAGGGCGCTAGCCTCCAAGTGTTGGTCGAAATTCAGGTTGGGCACCAGCTTCAGCCTCATCCGGGAGTAGGTTTCAGCGCTTGACAGCTTCCAGCGAACCTCTGGTGGGTTCCTGGGAGGGCAGGCAGGGGTGAGGCACCCTTGGGACCCCCAGCCATGCCACCCCTTGCCAGGGACTGAGGTGGGGGCTCACCGGTCAGCCCAGGCGGAGCGGGGCGAGGTGAGGAGGCGGCACAGGGACCACCACTGCTTCAGCACGGTGCCATGGTGGTTGTTGGCCTGCTTGAGCATGTTGGTGTGCCGGGCATTTTCTGCCTTAGAGCGTTTCGCCACCGGTTCCAGCACCAGCTCCTGCCAAAGGAGCAGGAGAGTGAAGTGACAGCAGGGCTGGGACTTGGGGACATGCCCAGGGTGAGAAGCATGTCCATTGGGATATATCCCCAAGGCAAGGAGAATGTTCCCAGGATGATGCACTTGTGGTGAGGAGCACATCCCAAGAATCCCCTGAACAATGTCCTCAGGAGAAGGAGCACTTCCTGAGGGCAATGTCCCCAGGGTAAGGAGCATGTTCTCAGGATGACATTTCAGAGATGAAGAGCACACCCCCAGGAAGAGGAGTATGTCCCTGGTGTGAAGAGCATGTCCCTAGAATGGCATCCCCAGAGAGAGAAGCACATCCCCAGGGTGATATCCTTAGGGTGAGGAGCATGTACCCAGGGCAAGGAGCACATCCCTGGAATGACATCTCTGGGACGATGTCCCCAGGGTGAGGAACATGTCCCCAGGATGATGTCTCCAGGATAAGGAGCACATCCTGAGGATGATGTCTCCAGAGTGAGGAGGATCTCCCCAGGGTAACATCCCCAGGATGAAAAGCACATCCCCAGGGTTAATGTTCCCGGGGTGAGGAGCACAGTCCCAGGATGACATCCCTAGAACACGGAACATGTTCGTGGGATGATATCCTTGGGGTGACAAGCACACCCCCATGACTCTGGGATGATGTCCCTGGCCTGAGGTGCACATCTCGAGGACAATGTCCCCAGAGTAAGAAGGATATCCCCAGGATGACATCCTTGGGATGAGGAGCACATCCTCGGGGTTAATATCCCCAGGGAGAGGAGTACATCTCTAGGATGACATCCTCAGAGCAAGGAGCACGTCCCCTGGATGACATCCTTGGGGTGAGAAGCATGTCCCCAGGATGAGGAGCACATAGAATCACATAATTCTAGAATAGTTTGGGTTGGAAGGGACCTTAAAAATCATCCAGTTCCAACCCCCCTGCCCCGGGCAGGGACACCTTCCACTAGCCCAGGTTGCCCAAAGCCCCGTCCAACCTGGCCTTGAACCCTTCCAGGGAGGGGGCAGCCACAGCTGCTCTGGGCAGCCTGTGCCAGGGCCTTGCCATCCTCACAGGGAACAATGTCTTCCTTATATCTAAACTAAGTCTACCCTCTGTCAGTTTAAAACTGTGAACCCTCATCCTATCCCTACATGCCCTTGTGAAAAGTCCCTCTCCAGATTTCTTGTGGGTCACCTTTAGGTACTGGACATGCCCAGGGTGACATCCCAGGGGCGAAGAGCAGGCAGTACCTGGAACATCTTGCGGCTGGCCGCCTTCTCCTGCTCCCGCCGCTGGGAACTGCTCATCATGGCATCATAGCAGGCGTTCCAGAAATTGGACATGTGGTCGTGGCTCTTGGCAAAGGTGTCCATCTCAAACTGGGCCATGGTGGGCTGCACCTGCCGAAAGAACCAGGATGAGAAGCGAGGCGTTTGCAGGGCGCCCATCAACCAGCATCCCTGCTCTGGACGTCACCCCTGCAAGGCTGTCCCAACCTGGTAGTGACATGGGGACCCCACCACTGCACAGACCCATCTCTAAGCCTGGGAAGGTGTTCTCCCAACAGCAATGCCACCCCATGCCCCACGGCACCCACGTGCTTCTCGATGAAGGCCCTCCACTCCGGGGTGGTGCAGAAGAGCTGGAAGTCCTCATAGAAAGTGGGGCTGCCGTTGGTGGGGGGCAGTGAGGGCAGGAAAAGCTGCAGCTGCAGGGTCTCATAGCACTGGTCCATGAGCGTACGGACGATGGGCACCAACCAGGAGGTGGTCTCTGACTTGGCATCCAGCGAGCGCCGCAGCGGGGTCTCTAGCTTGCCCAGCAGGTAGCAAGCCTCATCGTTTTTGGGGGCTGAGGCGGTCTGCAGCAGGCTGTGCAGCTTCACGTATGCCAGCGAGTGCAGCTGGGGGGGACATGGGACATCAGACAGGGCCACCTGCCCCTGCCCCATGGGCTGGGGTCTCGTTCCAGGAAAGGGTGACCCACCTGGGGGTCCTGCAGCATGATGTAGCCTATGAGGATGCGTAGACCCGTCTGGGCCATCTCCTTGAGGTCAGAGGTGCCGTTGGCCAGGTGGTACCAGACGCCCAGCTTGTCCAGCAGACTGCTCACCCCCTCGTAGATCTGGGGGTGGCACAGTGAGCCCCCTTATCCAGCCATATACCCGCCACCTCTCTGGCCAGGCAGGCACAAAGCCACCGGGTCTGTCCCCATCACCCAGCCACCCTCGGCTCTGCTTGACGTGCTTATGGCTTATGGGGAGGGGTTAGGACTAGGGTTTAGGGGTAGGGTAGAGCCCCAACTCCTAACACCAATGACAAACTAGTTACAGTTTGGCATGAGGGTTATGGTTTGGGGCTTAGGGCAAGGGTTTATGGTAAGGGTGTAGGGTATGGGTTCAGGGTTAGGATTGGGGTTAGTACTAGGGTACAGGATTGGGGTTAGGGGTGAGGTTTACAGCAAAGATGTAGGGTTAAGGTTTAGGATTCGGATTTAGGAGGTACAGTTAGATTTATAAATTATGAGTTTAGGTTAGGGTTTAGGGTATAGGATTAGGATTTTGGCTTACAGTAAGGTTGAAGGGTTAGGGTTAAGGGTTGGGGCTAAAGTTTATGGCAAAGATGTAGGGTTAACATTTAGGATTAGGATTTAGAAGGCACGGTTATGAGTTAGGGTTATGGTTTAGGGTATGGAGCTAGGATCTTGGATTTACAGTAAGGGTACAGGGTTAAAGGTTAAAGTTTAGGGATTAGGGTTTAGGATCAGGGTTAGGGTTTACAGCAAGAATGCAGGGTTACGGTTTACAGCAAGGGTTAGGGTTAGATTTACAGGTTATGAGTTAGGGATAGGGTTTAGGGTTAGATCTTAGCATACAGGGTTAGTGTATAGAGTCAGGTTTACAGTAAGGTTGTAGGGTTAGTGTTAGGGTTAGGGCTAGGGTATAGGACTGGCATTAGGGCTGAGGCTTACAGCAAGGATGTAGGGTTAAGGTTTAGGCTTTGGATTTAGGAGATATGGTTAGATTACAGTTTATGAGTTAAGGTTAGAGTTTGGGATTCCGGTTTACAGTAAGGGTGTGGGGCTAGCGTTAAGGGTTAAGATTAGGGTTAAGGGTTGGGGTTTATGACAAGGATGTAGAATTAAAGTTTAGGATTAGGATTTAGGAGGTATGGTTAGACTTATAGGTTAGGAGTTAGAGTTATGGTTTAGGGCTAGGGGATTGGATTTACAGTAAAGGTTAAAGTTAGGTTTAGGGTTTAGGATCAAGCATTACGGTTTACACAAGAATGTAGAGTTTACAGCAAGGGTTAGGGTTAGATATACAGGCTACGAGTTAGGGTTTAGAGTTAGATTTTAGCATACAGGATTAGAGTATTGAATCTGGGTTTATGGTAAGGTTGGGGTTAAGGGTTAGAATTAGGGGTTAGGGCTAGAGTATAGGATTGCGCTTCAGAGCAAAGGTACAGAGTTAGGGTTAAGGCTTAGGGTTAGACTTGGGGTTTATGGCAAGGGTGTAGGGCTAGGGCTAAGGTTTAGGGTTAGAATTTCATTTACTGGCTATGGATTAGAGTTATGGTTTAGGATTAAGGCACAGGTTAGGTTCAAGGGCTGCAGTTAGGGGCAGGGTTTAGGGTTAGGGCTAACATCAGGGCTGAGGGGTTAGCATTAGGTTTCAGAGCTTGGTTTTGGGATCAGGGATCCCCACATGCACCCATCTACCTTCTCACTCCACAGGGCCTGGTTGTTGTGTCCCTCAGAGAACAAGAAGTCTTGGAGCAGCCGCAGCAGCTTGAGGGCATTGTGGGTAAGACTGGGCAGGGCGGCTGGCCCCGACTCCTTCAGGTCCGTCAGCGCCGACTCCAGCATCATCTCCAGGAGGCTGCGGGAGAGCAGGGGGCTCTGTAGGGTGGCCCTCCCTTGGGATGCACCCACCTGAGCCTGGGTAGGACTCACCTGCGTTTGATCTCATCAGGTGGCCGCACCAGCTCGCACGCTGTCCCCAGCTTGGTGAGGACGGAGAACACCTGCCCCCGCTCCCTCCACGCCACGTCGTCCCAGCCTTCCACCCCCCGCCAGGTCACCGAGAAGATGATGTTGGTCAAGAGGTTGCACAGCTCCTCCTCAGGCGTTTGCTGTCAACAGAGAGGAAGGGTGAGAGGTCCAGTGTCCAGAGTAGTCCAGGGTGGTGGGCACGACGGTTTGGGGCTCACCTGGGGGTTGCTGGTGTTGGAGACATTGTCGCTGGGCAGCGCGTCCTGGTAGCTGCTCTCATCCAGGACGTTGGAGAGGCTGGAGCTCTTGCGTGCTCGCATCCCTGGGAAGGGCTTGAAGCTCTCAAGGGGTGAGGGGGTGCCCGGGCCACTGGTAGGGGTGTGAGTGTCGCTCTCGGCCGTGGCGATGGAGCTGGTGCTGGCCAGGTCAAGCCCCAGGTCAAAGGGTGAGGTGGAGAAGGGTGAGAGCGGGTGGTAGACACCATCAAAGGGAGGACCATCACCAGGGTTGGAGGATGAGCGGCTGGCCCGGTCAGAGGAGTCGAAAGACTTGAAGTTGTACGAGTGGAAGGACTTGGTGCGGCCGCTTGGGGAGATGGAGTGGTCGGAGAAGCCCTCGGAGAGTTCCTGGTCTGAGGCCTCGTAGCCCAGTGGCAGGAAGACATCCAGCTCCTGCAGCTCGGCCAGTGGTGGGCTCACCCCCTCCTTGCCAGAGGGGTCCGAGAGGCGGAGGAGCTCCAGGCAGCCCCCGTTGCCCACGTTGCTCAGGCTGTGCTGTCGGGATTCGTAGGACTCCTTGACGTAGAGCTTGGTGAGCGTGTCCTGCCAGCCAGCCAACCTTGCCAGCTGCCTCACCATGTCCTGCTGCGCATAGATCAAGTGGAAGAGCTGCAAGAGAAAGCAAAGGGGGAGACCCAATGATGTTTCACCAGCTCCTGGGAGGCTCTTGGGGTGCTGGTTCCTCCAAGAGACAGGATGCTTAGTCCTGAGCACCCCAGATCCTCCATAACCATCATGTGGGGTGCTGGGGCTGCACCACCTCCATGCTGGTACATCCATGTGCTGGCAGCCCCATGCATGGGGTGTTACCACCATTCCCATGGTCCCTGGCTTCAGGCATAGCTGGGTGCCCAGGAAGCTCAGCCCAGGTGACAACTCAGTCACAGCCCCTTGCGCCCATGGCCCTGCTCACCTTGCGGCAGATATCGAGCCGGACGGTCAGCTCAGCCCGGTGGGACAAGTAAACCACGGCCACTAGGTCCTTGTAGTTGGGAGGGTCTATGGACAAGGAGAGACAGCACTGTGGTGGGACACCTTGTTCTGGCCCTAAAAGCCACCAAAGACCCCCAGTCCCGAGACCAGCTGAGTTTTGCTTGTGGGAAGCCACCAGTGATGACCTCGTGGCACGCATCTGGGATGGGTGGCCAGGGCCAGTCTGTTTTTGGCAGGGCACACAGTACCTGCCCCGAGGACCTGCTCTGAGAGGCAGCGGAAGAGCAGCATGGAGGTGGGGACGTCACTGAGGCAGGCGATGAGCCCCTGGTAACCAATGTCCTTCAGCTTCAGGCGGTTCTTGCTGCGCTCAGGGACCTTCTCATACTTCAGCATCTTGTAGAGGATCTGGTGAGGGAGAAAGGGGTGCCCACCCTGCTGTGGCAAAGTCCCTGGCTGCTGGGGATAGTGAGAGGTTGGAGCTAGGGACCTGCCTTACTTTGAAGACCCTCTCCCGCACTTTATCCGAGAACTTCTTCTGCACCAGCAGTGAGAAGAGGACCTCCACGTGGCCTGGCTCAAAGAGGAAGGCAAAGAGCTGCTCCTGGGCAGGTGAGCCCTTCAGCAGGCTGTGGATCACCTCCAGCGCCCCGCAGACCTGCAGGACACGGAGCCGGTTGTCCACTGCTCTCCACGTGTCCTACCAGGACCTCTGTGACTTCTCCCCACCTGCTGCCAAGCACAGGGCCAGCCCATGGCACACTGAGGTGTTTGGGGACCCGGGTGCTTGGGTGCCATACCTGCTGCTCATCCTGTGCCCCAGCCACATAGCTCAGCAAGCTCTGCATCTCCTCCCCAGAGAAGCTCCTGCAGAAGAAATCCTTCACCAGGCTGAAGAGGGATGTCTGTACTGTTTTGATGTCGTCAGTGGCTGTGGTCTTCTCCCTGGAGGTGCTGATAGACAGACATGTGTGGGCATTCCCTCTGGGGATGTGCACAGCCACCCTCCTGCCCCTTGTCACCCATCGCCAGCATGATCCCAATCCCACCATGAAGCCTGATGAGCTCCAAGACAGCCCAGCATGGACATTCCTTCTGGCCAACTCTGCCCATGTCCACCCCCATGCATTTGGGTCTCTGCAGGGCGCAAGCACCCCCAGTATCATGGGTGCGTGGAAACGCATGGGGTCAGACAGGAGAAGCGGATCAGCTCCTTGCAGAAACCACCGTGACCTCAGTTGCTGCTGGTGAGATGCTGGGGGTGGATTTTGGGGCTGACTGGTCACAGATCTGGGTGGAGGCTTTGGGATGGGGCATGGCCATGGGGTCTTGCACCCACCACCACAGCGGAAGATTATCCCATGAGGTGCTTGCAGGGGAGATACTGCCCCAAGCAAAGGGTGTCTACCACAAACTGCATCTCCACAAAGCCCACCCACCACATCAACGTTGGTGGGTCCAGGATACAAGTGGCAGCTCACCCGTAGTAGGTCCGGATGGAGTCGAGGATGTACTGCACCCCATACTTCTTGCGGATGCGTTGCTTGTGGTCCTTGACGATGTTGGCCAGGTACTGGATGTGACCTGTAGGGAGAAGGTGTGAGTAGCCACAGAAGCTGGTTGGGATGGAGAACACCCTCAAGCACCCCCAGTTCCCACCTAAGCGGACGGCAAAGTCGCTGTTGCTCCAGATGCGGAAGTCAAAGAGGAGGTGCTGGTAGAGGAGGTGCAGCAGGAGCCCACTGCCCTCAGAGGCCACCTGCTCCATGAGGATCTGTGAGGCCATCAGCGTGCTCATGTCCAGCAGCGGGCTGGAGACCTGCCATGGCGAGAGGGAAAGCTTGCAGTCCCAATATCTCCCTTAGGGAACAGCCCTGGGGACTGAGGGATGGAGCCTTCGGTAGCCCCCCACACCTTCTGCAGCAGAGCCCCGATGATGGCTGGCCCATGGCACTGCACCAGGCTCTCCTGGTTCACCAGGTGGTTCTGGATGAAGTTCTTCACCAGCAGCAGGAAGGCAGCCACGCTGTTCCTCTCCAGCCTGCTCTCTGCAAGACACAGGGCAGAGCCCCACCAGTAGCTGTGAGCCCTGTGTTCACCAGAACACCTGCATGTCCTGCATCTGAATCACGGAATCCCAGAATCATCTGGGTTGGAAAAGCCCTTGAAGCTCCTCCAGCCCAACCATGACCCTCCCCCTGACCATTCCCAACTCCACCAGATCCCTCAGCGCTGGGTCAGCCCGACTCTTCAACCCCTCCAGGGATGGGGACTCCCCCCCTGCCCTGGGCAGCCCATTCCAACGCCCAACAGCCCCTTCTGCAAAGAAATCCTTCCTCAGAGCCAGCCTGACCCTGCCCTGGCGCAGCTTGAGGCCATTCCCTCTGGGCCTGGCGCTGGGTCCTTGGCTCAAGAGACTCATCCCCCCTCTCTACCCCCTCCTCTCAGGGAGTTGCAGAGGGCCAGGAGGTCTCCTCTTCTCTAGACTCATCTGCCTGCAAAGGGCATCCCAGAGACCCTGCACCATCAACTTTTCTCCGCAAACTTTTCAGCCTGTTCTCCTATTTCCCCCAGATTTATGCAAGTGGAAACCTCTGCTGCTCCAAGCTTGGAAATAAGCAGCTGGATATCGGCAAAAAGCCCTGCATGAACCCAGTCCTACTGTAAGACATCAGAGACTCCACATAAAGGCGAGCCAGAGGTAAGCAGGCTGGAGCCACCCTCATTTTCCCAGAACTGCTTGTTTATGACTCACTGGGCCATGACATTAGAAGATGTCAATGATTTATCCATTATCCCATAACTCTTGGTGCCTCAAGCAAGACCTCTCCTGCCTGTGGTAGACACCAGCCTGGCTCCAGGCAGCACCTCTGTGGCAATGGGGCTACCTCCAGCCACCGGAGCAGGATGGCTCCTGTCCCATGTCCCCTGAGGTCCTCACCTGAGGATTTGCCCAGCGGGATGAGCAAACCCTGGGCGTTCCTGGAGGACGTTAGCTCCGGCCCCACCAGGTCGTTGGTCTCCTGCTCATCTTCAGGCTCCTCCTTCTTGGACACCACTTGCTCGAGCAGGGGCAGCAGCACTCCCATCCCACCCACACAGTTGACCACGTCCTGCCGGAGGGAGGCGAGAGGCTTTGCTGGGTGCTGCGTGGTGATGGCAGCGTAGAAGAGGAGGTTGCATGTGCACCCAGGGTTTGTGCTGCCTGCTCATGGGCTCAGCTCAAGCCGGGGAGAGTCAGGCCCTGTAGTTAGCAAACATCGGGGTGTGCCTGGACCCATCCTACAGCACAAACCTAAAACAGGTCCCCCAAAACTACCTGCTCTCCCACACCACCTACGGTGCCCACCCTGGATGCTGAGGACCTATGTGGCAGACAGGTCCTTAGGGCACCCATGGGTCATGCAGGGCCTTGGTGGACCCAATACCATGTAGCAGAGTCCCTGTAGGCTCCAGGGGAACCACCGTGGCCACCTGACACCCTGGGGGGGTCCTGCCCTGGCCTTGAACCAAAGGAGGGAGCCAGCTGCCTCTACGCCATGAGGCGGACAGACCACCCTGCACCCAGTGTACCTTGATGTCCCAGTTGACCACCTTGTGCCCCGTCAGCCTCCCGTCCAAGCCGTGGCTGGGAGAGAGGTCCAGGCAGATGTTGTTCCTGCAGGCCTAGAAGACATCACCATGGGAGCATCCTGATGCTCCTGGAGATGTCACTTATGGCAGAGGGTCTACCAGTGCTGTCCTTGTCCCTGGGGGGGTGGCTCTCCTCACCTGTGGGGTGTAGTACAGCAAGAGCTTGCTGCTGAGCTCCACCAAGTCACCTTCCAGCGCAAATGGTGATGTAATGTTTGGTCCTGAGGAGGGAGAGGATTGGGATGAGCTGCAGCACAGTGGAGGAGACCCCAGTTGCCACCAGCACCCTTGTGGATGGACATCCCCCCGTGCCCCCCCCGCGACGTACCCGTGCAGAAGAGTGCCTTGACCTGGGCTTGCTGCAGAGCCTCACAGAAGATGGCCACGGAGCCCAGGTGACCCTCCAGGGAGGTGGGGCTGCCCCACTCAGTGTCCTGACTGCCGGCTGCTGTGGTGGCCACCACACCCTCTGTGGGGGGCTGAGTCGGGGTCCAAGTGTGGGGGCCCAGGGCAGCGGGGACAGATTGGGAGCGGCCGAGCGTGGGGTGCGGTGGGAAGACCAGCTCTGGCCCGTGGGACGTTGGCGGGTGGCTGGTGGTGGTGGCAGTGGTGGTGGTGGTCCGGTGGCCCGCGGAGCCGATGCAGCAGGAGGTGAAGGACTGGAAGGAAGAAGTAGTTGTGCGTGGCCCCTCAGCCTCGTGCTGTGAGGAGGGGTTTGGCCAGGTGCCAGGGGGGATCCCCCACCTCATGGAGGGAGGGGAAGCGGAGCTGCGCTGTCTTTCGCAGGTGCCCGTCGGTGTAGATGCTGACGATGTTCTGGCCGAAGGGTCGACGGCCGGCGACATGGACGATGTCGATGCAGTGCTGGGGGGGACAGGGAGGGGGCGTCAGGCATCCTGGTGTCCTTGTCGCCTGCCCTGATGGGGACAGGAATGGGCACAATACTCACCCAAGACGAGTCGTTGAAGGCAAACTCCGGCAACGCCACCGTCATGTAGTCCTTCTTAGTGCAGACCGCCACCACCAGCACGCCACCGGCAGTGAAGAACGCCTCAAGGCCTGTCCCACCAGCTGTGAAGAAGCTAGTGGAGGAGAAGCACAGTGGGCTTGGTGGTGCTATACCTCCTCATCCTCATCTCAGCCCCTCCAGTCCCTCCACTGAGCATCACCTGTAGAGCTGCCTCCTCTTCGGCCTTGCCGTTGGCTCAGGCTCCTCCTCGCTCAGGCACAACCAGGCGTGGAAGGCGAAGGCGCTGCCGGGCCACTTCTGGATGGTGGGCACCATGATCCCCGCCATACCGGGTGTCAGGTCAAAGCACTGCAGTGCGCGGGGGGGTCCCTCGACCCGTGCCATCCCCGAGAGCGCCCGGATGACAGGCGCCACGTAGGGATGCGGACCCCGACCTCTCTCGTGCCTCAGCAGCTGCAGCAGCTGCCGCAGCTCCCTGGGGCAGATGGAGAGGCTGCCCAACGCCCGCAGCAGCTCCAGTAAATTTTCAGAGCAGGCAGCTGGTAGCGCTGGCTCAGTAGCCAGGGCACTCAGTAGGCTGCCCACCATGCCCGCCTTGACGCAGGTGAGACGGCTGGGCAGGGAGGCTTCGCAGAGCCGCCGCAGCCAGCCCGAGAGGAAGATCTGCAGCTCCCAGCATGCCAGGGCTGGCAACCAGGCCAGCAGGATGAGCAGAGGTTGCTCATTGCGGATGGGGCGCACTGGGAAGGAGCTGTGGTCACCCTCCACTGCCTGCCAAAACATAAGAGCTGGTTGGTGCAGCCCTGACCCTGTGGAAAGGGATGGATTCTCCCCCGGCCACCCTGGGCTGGCAGCAGAGACCCCCATGCATCAAGCGTATCAGAGACAATTGTGTATCAAGAGTCTTGGAGACCCTCATACATCAAGAGCTTTGGAGACCTCCATGCATGAAGTGTATCAGAGAATCTCATGCACCAAACATTTTGAAGACCCTTGTGCATCAAAATCCCCCTGGAGAGCCCTATTCATCAAGCATTTTGGGAACCCCTGTGGATCAAGCATGTTGGAGACCCCCATGGATCAAATATTTTGGAGACCCTCGTGCATCAAGCACCTTGGAAACCTCTGCGCATCAAGCAGTACCAGAGCAAGCAGTACCACATCGGAAAGGGCTCAAAACTCCCCAATGCTGAGCATGACTACAAGGAAAAGATGGCCCAGAGACCCCTTGGGAGGAAGCTGATGGGAAACTAGCAGGGTGGAGAGGACTGGAGGGTGAGGGATGGGGCCACATAGTGGCAGAGATCTACCATAAACCGCCAGCACCGAGGGCTTTCTGGGCGTGGAGGAGAAGCGGGCACACTCACCATGTTGAGGAGCTCCTGGAGCAGGCATTGGGTGGGCTGGCCTTGGCTCTTCAACACCTCGTAGAGGTGGGCGTAGCCGATGCGTTCCTTGAACACCTCCTGCAAGCACCCAGGCACGTGGGACCCCCATACTGAGCCCCATCATGTGCTGCTTTCACCCCAGGCCACCTCGCAAGGTGAAAACGCCCAAACCCATCTGCTTTTGGGGTGTTCTCCCCGCCTCTGGTCTGCTGCCCACCTTGGCCGAGGGCGAGTTGCTCATGATGGCAGTGAGCACCCTGACAGCGTGGACTGCAATGGCGTCAGAGCTGCTGTCAAAGACCTAGAGGGACATAGGGGTGGTGGGTCTGCTGAGTCCTGGGGTTGAGGGGACACAGCCCACCACACCCAGCAGTTTGGTTATGGGGTGGCCCTACACTGTACCTGCTGGAGTCCATCCCCATTCAGTGGCCACACAGGGACCTCGTTCCGGGCTTCACCTGCCTCCTGCGAGCTGCTGAGGTAGAGCTGCAGGACACGGGGTGGGCATCAGCCATGCCGGGTATGGCACGGGGGGAAGAGGGAAGGGGGTTATGGAGGGTCCCCACTCCACGGATGGGTCCCAGCACCATTTAGAGACAGGAGGGGTGAGGATGGAGATGAGGGTGGCCAACACTGGTGTCACCAAGCGGGGACACCAATGTGATCACCCTGGTACCTTGCTGTTTTGGAGGAGACGGATGATGTGCTCGAAGCAGTTGTTGCTGAGAAAGACAGCTTGGAGGACCGGGCGGTCCTCGCAGCTCAGCATGGCTGGGATGGCATCTATGGCAAAGCAGGGATGGCTCAGCACCCATCCCATGTCCCCATCCCCCCTCCCCGTCCCCAGCCACCTACCCAGCATAAGCACACGGAGAGCAACGAGGCCACTGGCCGCCTCCGGCGCCAAAGAAGCAACGGGCAGGTCCAAATTGAGCACCCTGAAGTAACCATCCAGGAGGACACGCAAGGGCACGGGGCCAGCGCCGGGACTGCTGCCGTGCAGAACGTGGACCACGGCCACCACACCACGTAACGCCAGCTCCAGCAACCGGGGCACCGGAGGGGGCCCCCCGCCTCCCCGCTGCAGCACCCCCAGCAGCACCTCCACCGCTGCCGGCGTGATGGCCCGCAGGGCGTTGGGCTGTTGGGATGACGGGGGGAGATGGGTTTTTATGTCGCCTATCGCCACATAAAATCCTTTACTGAAGCTCTTAAAGCCGAGCCTGACACCTCCAGCGCTGCAGGTTTTACTCATCTCACTGCACCCTGCTCCTGGGTGCAGGCAAATTAATTGAAAGCAAATTTCGGAGCTATTAATTAAATCCTGATTTTTAAGCACTGGGTTAATTAAAACCTCGTTCTGCTCAAATTTATTCAGCCAAGAAGTTCTCATCTGCCATCGCAAAGCTGGACCAGTGGTGAACGAGTAACTTCAACTCAAACCCATCTTTAATTTAATTTTGTTTTGTTTTTTTTTTTTAAGATAAACCCACTGAATTTAGGGATGGAATTTTAAATATGATTTTCAAAGGCTTTTGAAAATGAAGCGATTTAATTCCAGTCTTTATCTTGCTTGGAATAAATAAAACTTCGGGCGTTATCACTTGGATGATGATCCCAAGCCCTCCCCATCTGCTTCCCAGTGTTACCTTGGAACCGGAGAGGATGGCCCCAAAAAGATGGATAAGCCGGAGCTGGAGTGTTTCAGGGAGCTGAGCCCCGGCTTGGAAACTCTCTGCAAGGATGAGGAAGGAAAGATTTACTTCAGGGAGTAAGCAGGAAAAAAAAAAGGGGGGAAAAAAATTCCTTTTCTACCCAAATCCACCCCATGTGGGCACAGGACCCTGTTAATGATGGAGGGGATGAGGATGCTTGGATTTTGTGCATGTCTGGTTGCACCGGGGGAGGTTTTTTTGTCTTAAAAAACACAGAGTTTAAAAATAAGGCTCAGTTTGGGGCTTTACAGGTGGTTGGCTGTGTTGAGGAGTTTTAGGTGATTTTTTTTGCAACACCTTTGCCTCGCAGGGTTTTTTTGGGGGGCTTCCCTGGGAAAAAAAAGAAAAAAATCCCCTTTGCATTGATTTTTGCAGGCTCTCTGGGCTGTGTGGAGCTCTGGAGCCCAAACCCAGTTGCAGTGAGTAATGGGGGGGGGTAAGGCACCCCCATTTTACCTTGGAAGAAGGCGCCAAACTCGGGGGGCAAAGGGGCTGGGGCGAACTTGTATTTACTCTTCTCCTTTGCACTGATGATTTCCCTGGAAAGAGATGGGTGAAGGGTGGGGGAATGAGCGGGGTG